AAAAAAAAAAAAATAAATAAATACAAATACAAATAATTGTGGGCCATTTGCTCGTGGGTTTTGAGGGGTGGTGGTGGAGTAGGGGGCTTGTCATTTATTGCATGTTTGTTTGTTAATAAAATATATATATATGTATATATATATATACATATATATATATATTATTATTATTATTTTGGCTTAACGGCTACCATGCGAGTGTTACCTTGAAGCCGTCATAGGTCCACGAACCGAACTTGAGGACGCAGGTCTGCTCGTCGAATGGGAAGTACTCCACGTCGATCTCGCAGGATGACTTATAAATGGCCGGGGGCTTCCACTCGACCAATCCTTGATGGTAGATTGTGGCCTTCGTGGCCAAGGTCACCTCGAAGTTGCCGTCCGCGCTGCGAGCGAGCACATTAGTGGTTCTGGGCGCTGCGGCGGTCGAGCTTACTTTGTACTTCCGATTCGATACCAAGCCGTCTTTTTTTTTGTTTTTTATTTTTTTTTTTAATTTTATTTTGTTTTGTTTTGTTTTTGTATTGTTTTGTTTTGTTTTAATTGTTTGTTCAATTATCGTATATTTTAATAATCATCCCACATATTCTTCTCTTTTCATTTCTTGTCATTATTGGTTTTCTTATTTTTTTTTCCTTTCTTTTTGTTTCGGAATATTTTTCTATCAATTTTGTTTTCTCTCCTTAATATTTTATTTTATTTTATTTTATTTTATTTCTTTTCATTGATTCCTTGTCTTTTTTTTATAATAATAATAATAATAATAATACTATACATTTATATGTATATTATGTATTATATTATATAATTATTATTATTATAATTGTTAGATTGAATTTTCGTTCTTTTCTTTTTCTTTTCTTTATCATATTCTCATATTCACATACACACACATACACATACATACATACATACACACAACACTCACGTGCATTACCAAGCCATTTTCGAAGTTATACTTCTTGTGGCGCGTTTGATAAATAATGAGGAGAGTGAATCTTTATGATGCACGTGCATAGTGCCACGAAATTAACAGAATGAAGTTTGTTGAGATTTACGATGCGCGCGCACAGTGATATGAGATTAACAGCATGAAGTTAGCCGCGTCAGGGTACAGTATATGCGAAAAATTATTTAGTTCTGTGACTGACCACTAGATAGCGAATGCCATTTGCAGTTTCTCACATATAAAATACTATATTTGGTTATAAATTATTTGTGTGTATGTATATGTCATCGTAGTAGACCGAAATTGGAGAATTTTAGGATTCACATGTGTACTTATTACCAATAAATATTGGATTAATTGTATGGATAAATAATGTATAATAGATAAATAATATTTGGGTAATAAAAATGGATTAAGACTTAAATTTGTCTGCTGTTTGCTTAATTCACACTCATAATTTTTGAAACTTTTTATATTACCATTGAATACTGAATGTTTATTATATAATTTTTTCAATTTAATTACTCGTTATTTTGTTTTGTTACGCCAAAGAAGTATAACTTTTCACGTGCGTACATAAGTACACACACAGCCATTATTTTAATTGATTTTAATTTTGAAAAATAAATTATCGTTAAGTTGAAGATCTTTGAATAAAATATAACACGAGGATTTTTACATTTATTATAATCCTTCAATACTTTCTTTTATTATTTGTTTATATATTTGTATTTTCTTTTTATATTCAATTATTATTTTATTATCTCACTTTTTTTTATTTACTTTTCTTTTATTTGCTTCTTTTTTTGAATATTTTTTCTTTTATCAATTTCTCTCCTCAATATTTTATTATATTTTACTTTTTCTCAATGATCCCTTGTTTCTTTTTATAATAATAATAATAATAATAATTTTATTATTATACAATTATAAATATTATTATATAATGTATTATTATTATTATTACATTGTGAATTTTCATTCTTTTCTTTTTCTCCACCCCTTCCTTACTTTCTTTTTTTCTTTCTTTCTTTCTTGCACACATACACACACATGCACAAAAATACTTCCTCTCTCTTTCTCATCACATCGTGCCTTTTCACAAACGCATACACATACACATACACACGTATAACTCTGTGCGTGTTATGTTTTCTCTCTTCAGAGTTTTCTCATTGAGTTTTCTTAAACAACAGAGAGCACACGCCACCCTTAAATTTTGTTCGATGTTATTATGCGCGCGTTTTTGTTTCTTTTCCTTTTCTTTTTTTTTTTTTAGGAAGTCTTGTTTTCTTTTCCTTTTTCTTTTTTTTTTTAATACAATAGATAAGAATTTTTTGTTGTTGTTCTATCTCTTTCTCTCTCATTCTCTCATTCTCTCATTCTCTCTCATTCTCTCCCTTTCTCATATTCTCATATTTTTATTTACTTGGCGAGAAGAAAATCTTTTCTTTTGTTTTTTTTTTTTGTTTTTTTACAAATTTTCGACGTTTGTTGAAAAAAGGACGAGCGATTAGAGTCGAGATTGATATATTTCAAATCAATTTAATATCATTATTATTATTATTATATTAACATTATTATTTAAACAATAAAAGGCTCTTGTTTCGATCGAGAAAAAATCTTACTTTTTTTCTTTTTTGTTCTTTTTAATATTAATATTTCAACCCTCCCMCTCCTCCCCCCCCCTCCCCCAACCCCAATGTTCTTTTCCTTTTCCTATTCATTATCATCAATTAAATTATTATATTATATTATATTATTAAGAAGTTTTTAAGTAATATCATATTATATCCACTTTTGTGTGTAGAGAGATTAAAGTTTTGCTCGTAGATTAAATTTCTTCATTCGAAAGTTTGAATTCTAAGTAAGCTAAACGTTAAGAAAATTCAACTGGAAGTTTACTCTCTTTAGTCTTAGGTAGAGAATAGCGTATTATTACAGGTATAGAGTTCTTCAAATATTTACCAACGACGTTTATAAACCGCCCGAATATTCATTTACTTAAACACGTATTTAGTCTCAGAGGATAATTATACGAGATTATGCGTTTTCTATCTGAAAATGTATTCCTGTTATTTAAATTCTATCAATCTAATTCGTGAATAATAATATTATTAATCATGTAGTATATAAATTGCATTAAAATTATTAAATCAATTTCTCATATTTTATTTTCAATCTGACAAAACTTTAAACCAGAAAAAAAACCCTCAAAAATATTCACAATATATAATAATATTAATAATTATTATTTATATATATCCTAATAATATAAAGATCAACGTAGTATTCAGTTTCTGTTAAGAATTTATTTATAACTTAACCCTTATCTATCCCCCACCCTCTCACCCTATACTATAAACAAACCTCACTGAAACATATTTTAAAAATTAATTGACATTGCATATACATTATTTAATTTTCACTATTTGTTTTTAACGTAAACGAGCATAACAACACTTCCTTCCACTTTCCCCCATAAACACACCTAACTGATGCACATTTTATAGATCAACCAAAACCCATTAGGACATTTGATAATATATATTACACATTTGTAAATTGATCTGACAATGTATGAAAAAAATATGCACAAAGTATACATTAGCCAATCTTTGTACATTGACTGTACATTTCTATATATATATATATATATATATATACACTTATACATATATATGCAAATGTAAATAGAAAGATAGGAAGAAGGATGATACTCATGAAATAATCAACTACTTCCTAGCATCGAGAGAAATGAAATGAAAAATTGCTCTCGCAGTCTTCCTTGCTTACTCTTTCTCATTCTATCTTTTTCTATCTTTTATTTTTCCTCTTTTTTTTTTTTTTTCTTTTTGTTTTTCAATCCCATCTAGTTCTCTCGAAGCAACGAAACGGTCTTCTATTATAGTCCTCGAAAGCCTGGTCAATCGATATATTTCACTGGGGAATCGAAACAGTGGCATTATCGTCGTTCACGTCTTCTATCACGGGGTTGTTACTACCCCTTTCTATTTTCCTTTTTTTTCTTCTCTTTAGATGAAACAATGCATCTTCGACAAGGAAAGTTAAAAAAAAAGAAACAATGTGTTATATCGGTAAATAGATAAATAGAGATGTTGTCAGAAACGTTTGACGAATTATTTTACTTTATTCGAAATTAATGGAGGAGATTAATATACTTCATTTTCTTTTTTGATTTGTTAATTATTAAATATTTGGGATTTGGTATTAATGTATTTTGAAATAAATGTGTGGTTGTTTATAATTTAATAGTTAAGATTTAATTAAAGTATGTGGTTTATGGTATATTTATTAGTGATTGTATATTATTTAAAAATATTTTTCTGCTGTTCTTATACATTTACTTCATCGTTCTTGTTAGAAATGTTAAGTATTCTTGGATATAATATGTATTGCATATTTATTATATAACATATTATATTGTACTTAACACAGTACTTATATATTTTTATGGTATATAACTTGC